GTCCAGGCTGGTCCACGAAGGTGATCTTTGCTTTGTGTGAGTGTTCCATGAATAAACTTGATTTAGATTTTTCTACTACCATATTATAATACCAGAAAAAAATTGTGATAATGTTTTAGGTCCATGCCAATCATCTCCATCATTTATAACAGGTAAAAATTCATACCCCTACCAAAGGGCGTCAGAAGCGTCTGGAATGCGGGGGGACACAATGATGTGCAGCATTTCACCTAGATTTCCTTTAATTCCACACATTTAAAACATGTTTCTCATTAAGTTTGTGTAAATTCAGCTGTGGGTTTTAAAGACATTTTAACTTTAACACATTTTAATACAGAGCGTCAGGTCGGCAATATCTGTGTTTATAGTGAAATAAAAACCATCATCACTAGACATTTTTACTTGTGTTCAACACTCCTCATCTAAATGATGTTTCTCACGAAGCTCAAGGACAATAAGGTATGCAGGTTTAAAGACATTTCAACTTTAATGCACCTGAACACACCACGTCTCTTACACCTGCAGCATCTTACAGAGTCACAGTTACTGCTAAGCTAACATGCTACAGACGTAGCGCTCCTCTCGCATCCTCCTAACCATGTTTATGATCAACCCCCCCGGTCAACAACTGCCCGCACTAAAGCTCACTAAACTGGCGAGCGAGCAACACAGAGGTGTCTCCATCTCCTCCACCTGTGAGCGTTTGCTGCCGAGGCAGGAGGAGACGCACAGAAACAGTGTTGTTTGGCTGCTGTGTTTAGAGTTGGAGGTAACCAGGAAAACCTGGAGTGGAGTTTTAGTGGAGTGGAGTTTTAGTGGGTTGAGTATTCTATTAATCAAGTGGAATGGATTTGTTCACGAAGAAAGAAACTGCGCCGACTGAACTAATGTTTCAAAGTAAAAGTGTGTGGGTGGGTGGGTAGGGAGGGTCCAAATGAATGTTTTTTGAATGCGGGGGGGGGGGGGGGGGGGGGGGGTGAGATATGTCCCCTTCACATATAATGGTTGTGACACCTATGCCCCTACCACATAATCCATTTTTTCAAATGCCCCAAATATCTAAATTTGATGCAAGTCCTTTGGTGATCGTAGGAAAATAAATTAAGCTGCACTGCTTTAAGTCCAACATGAACCGAACCCTTCTAAACAGATGGAAAAACTCTGCTCACATGTTCATGTTTTGCTGAAACAGTTTCCAACCTGGAACATCAAGTACAGCTTCACTACAGATTTTCCTCGCTAGATCATGGTTCATTTATTGTGGCTTCACTGTATCGCAGGTTTGTTTAAACTCGTTTTCATTTCAAGCAGCAATAATAACCCTACACTCCTAAACTTCAATGGTCATGTGATGTGGTTTACCTTCTGTACAGTGTACCATATTTTTCGGCCTATAAGTCAGCGTTTTTTGTATAATTTGCATGCCCTGCGACAAGACGAAGCAACACATTTATGCTTTTCCCATATTTATAAAACAATTTGTCTGAGATATGACCGTTTTCATTCATTCTCACTGAAAATATTGAACACTACGGCTAGATGGCACTCGAGTCGTATGGCATGCCGTTGTGTCATGTAATAGGTAAACGTGGCTATTAATGACACAGTTGGCTTGCCATAGCCTGCCACCTTTGGCCAGCTCGCCTGGAGCAACTGTCAAACCAGCTTCATTTCACTGCACCGCCCCGGCGAAATGCAGCTGATTTGACCAATGAAGTGCAATTATTAAATAAAAGTTAAACTGAGACACAACTTTTCTATAATAATTTCAAACAAACAAATAATTGTTTTTAAGTGTTAATCTTGTTAAATTCTTGTTAAAGTCCTCCCGTGCACGCTCCCGCGATTGCCATTTGGCAACCAGTTGATTTATGGCACAACACCCGCCCACAATTTCGGGTCGTTAGTGGTGACGCATAATAGATGCAACTTATACGGCAAAGCGACGCATTTATGTTTTTTCCCCACGTTATTAGACATATTGGACTGATGCAACTTATAGGGCGGTGTGATGTGTACGGCAGAAAATACAGTAGATAGAAACAGTTTTGTTCGTTTTTATTTTTTTTTGCGTTTCAGTGTTTTTGACTATGACAGAGCTCTGCACAAGAATTCCAACGTGCCAGGATTGTTGGTCTGTGCACAAATGGCAATTAAGAGATTAATTATTAATTAAAGATCTGAAGCTCTCGACCTTGACCTCTCCAAGCGGCTTTAAGAACCTGTTGGACTCCTGGCAAGGTCCAGTGCAGACATGTTCCTGTTTTTAGGTTTTTTACATTTGCCTTATGATCTAGCTATTTTTGCCATCTTATTTTAATTTGTAAAAAAAAAAAAAAACAATTATAAAAAAAAATCTGTATGCCTCTTTTAGGATTGTCTTTTTGTTGTCATCATTCTTTGTTGAAACTAGGTCTCTCTTGTAAAGGAGTCCGAGGCTCAATGGGATTAACCTGTCTAAAAAAAGGTTGAATGAATGAATGAAAATTAAAGAACTTCGTACCTTTTGTACCTCAAGTTTCCAACATTTTTCAGTCAGGTCATCTGGACAGTTTCTTTTTTTTTTTTTTTTTTGCTGAAACGTTTCGCCTTCCATCCAGAAGGCTTCATCAGTCAAGGAAACGCACAACAAAACTGATTCTTCCTCCAACAGCTTACTCCAAAGTGGAACAAACCAGTTATGTTGGTGCTAAGATGGTCTCTTTGTCACGCCCCCTCCTCCATTGCCGGCCCTCTTCCTTGTTGACAGTCTTGTCAAACTGGTTGAAAACAACAAAGTCCATGCTCAATAATCCAGGTATACAATCCAACATTTTTCAGTCAGGTTTTGTATTTTTGGATTGTATACCTGGATTATCGAGCATGGACTTTCGTGTTAAGTTTCATTTATAATTTTTTTTTAGCTTGTGCAGAAAATAAACTGGCAAAATAAGAGTTTCTTCTCAGTTGCCTAGCAACCACTAAGTTATGACTACAAGTACGGCAGGTCAAAGATCAGGTTTGTGTAAATAAATGTACCTACACTGAAAGAAAAACATCATTTGAGATCACACACACACACACACACACACACACACACTCTATAAGATAAGATAAGAACTTTATTGATCCCGCAGGAACTGACTTCCATTCTTACTGTAGCCCATTCCTGACCCCGACTTGAGCTCAGTTCACACCTTAGTCCTAACATCTAGCCGCAAAATGGCGTTCCACAGTTTAAAGATCATTGTTTGGTCCCCAAAAGGATCATGGTCCTGACAAGGTAGGTTTGTATAGCAGAAAAGGTCCAAGCAGCAGGTACACACACACCTAATGCACTGCTGCTGAGCAGTGAGGACTTCATGAAGGCGTTGTGTTTGAAGCTTCACTCTCGTCCACCTGCCTTCTCTGTAAACCCTGAAGCTACAGCAGCAACAAGATCGTCCAGTTCTCCCATCAGACCAAACAATGTGAACGTTCATTAAAACCAGTTTTCTTTGTTTTTCCTCTCATTTGTTTGGTCTCCTCTGATCCGTCCATCTTCACCTCAGGCACATACTGAAGTGAGGAACGTCGTCACGACTCGCAGCATGAGCCCGTTCAAGTCTGTCCACCTCCTGTGTCCTGCAGCCGTTTGAGGATCAACCAGAGGAGACACGGTGGAGGTCGAGCTCAAGCTGCACGGACGATGGAGAGAATAAATAAAGGGATGAAGAGAACAAATGCTTCATCCAGCAGTGGTCACTGCAGTCGTCCATCGCTTTATCAAGGTTCACTTGTTGAAACTTCACTGTCGCAGGTTTTAGACCTGGACTTTATACTGCGTGTACTGAACATTCATCTCATCTTCATCACCATGGTGTTTAAGAGCATAGGAAGAGTTGATGAAAGAGTGGGACGGAGATTTTATAGACCCTTTCCAAAAAATTTGAATATTATGGAAAAGTTGCTTAACTTCCATAATTGCATTCAAAAAGTTAATATTTAATAAATGATAGATTCAGGGCCCACAATTTAAACAGTTTTAAGTATTTATTCTTTTTTTGTTTGTTTTTTGTTTGTTTTTACATAATTTGTGCTCCTAGCTCATGAAACCCACGAAAACAGGATTTCAAAACATTACAATACTGTGGAGAAATCCGCACGCACATGCACACATACATACATACATGCATACGCACACACACACTTACATACGCACACACGCGGCGGCTGTGGCTGAGTGGTTAGAGCAGTCGTCCTCCAATGCAGGAATTGGGGGTTCAAATCCACCAGCAGTCACATGCTTAAGTGTCCCTGGGCAAGACACTGAACCCCTCGTTGCCTCTGATGTGTGTCCCATCAGTGAATGAATGTGATCTAAAGCACTGATTAGTCTCTTTAGAATGATTTGTTCAATTAGCTTTGTAGAGATCTAGTATAGAGCTGTATGAATGGGTCAATGAGACAGATTGTTGTAAAGTGCTTTGAATGTCTTGATTAGATAGAAAGGTGCTATATAAGTGCAGTCCACTTACACACACACACACACATCTCTAGAAAGATAATCTGAGTCTGTAGAGACTAATCAGAGCTTTAGATCACACTCATACACTGATGGGACACAGAGACAATGAGGGATCAGTGTCTTGCCCAAGGACACTTCAACGTGTGACTGCTGGTGGACTCAAACCCCCAACTCTCCCACTGGAGGACGACTGCTCTAGCCACAGCTGCCCCCAAAGAAGCTCCATTTGTTTTTGTGGAAAAACGTGAAGCATTTTTTTTTAAAGTAACTTGTGGAAAAGCAAATTCATTTATAGCTGAAGGACGAAGTTGAGCTTTGAGCTGCTGCATGAAATCCTGCTACTACAGACATGACGAGGAGACAGACGGCGGAGGTGCAAGAACTCATTTACAGTCAGAACAAAAAGGAGGAAACTGCTGTGAGGGTGTGACGAGGTGAAAAACTGAACCACTTCAACAGAACAGTTTCACAGCGACTGGCTGCCAAAGAACTCTACAGCAGCTGGTTGTCCTACCTCGTGCAGATAGCTTCTTGGTGTTTATTATCTTAGCAGCATACTCCTGCCCTGTGGAGATCTTCATGCACCTCCTCACCACAGAGAAGGCTCCCCTGAAGGACAGAGTGACAGGTCAGGAGCTGCAGAGAAGGATTTGAGCACAAACATGTGAAAAGTGACTCCTTGTTGTGCACGCTGAGGACAGCATCCAGCTCAGAAGTCAACACGACTGCTGCATTAAAGACAACAGTCACTGAGCCGAGACCGTTGGACACAACCGGACTCAAAGCTGTGACAGAATCATGGTGGACGTTCAGATTGACAATTTGGTTGGAACACTGAAGAGAGTGGACTGCGAGCCTCTGACTCATGGGTAGAAACTGAGACCCCTAGAGGATGTTAGAAGACATGGTCCTGAATACTGTTCCACTAGTGTCCAACAGTCTCAGTCCAGTGAGACAGAGACAGGAGTGGAGGTTATTCTGTGGACATCAGCCTGCATGTTTGAAATAAAGCCTAGAGAACATCAGGTCTCTCTTTGAAAATGAGTCCCTGAGGCTCAGTGGGATTAACCTGTAGAAATAAAGTTTAAATTAATGATACGCCTGTCAACAAACTGTTATACAACAATCTGTAGCAATTAAACAATCAAAGAAGACCTAAAAAAAAGTCCATGCTCAATAATCCAGGTATACAATCCAACAACTTTCAGTCAGGTCATCTGGACGGTTTCTTTTTTTGCTGAAATGTTTCACCTTCATCCAGAAGGCTTCATCAGTCAAGGAAACGCACAACACAAAACTGATTCTTCCCCCAAACAGCTTACTCCAAAGACACCATCTTAGCACCAACATAACTGGTTTGTTCCACTTTGGAGTAATCCGTTTGGGGGAAGAATCCGTTTTGTGTTGTGCGTTTCCTTGACTGATGAAGCCTTCTGGATGGAAGGTGAAACGTTTCAGCAAAAAAAGAAACTGTCCAGATGACCGGACTGAAAATCGTTGGAGGAAAAGACCTTGTTAACCTTGGACTAGGATTTGTGACCTTGAAGCTTAGGAGATTGTGAGATGCTCTGTATCAGTGTTACAAATTCATAAAGTTTCATTAAATGATCTTGAACATAGAGCTGGATGATACATCAATATTTAAAAAATATCAATATAAATTTTGTTGTGATATAAGTTGAGACTAAATCGATATAAAACGATATTGTTTTATACTTGGAAATCCTCCTGCCGTCTTCTTTCTTCCACGCGGCCCCCAACTTCTCCCTCCTTGAACACAAACCCAGTCTCTCAGCCGTGCTCCCTTCCTTCCTTCCTTCCTTCCTTCCCCTTCCAGGAGGTGAGCAGGCGGGAGAGGAGACGTTTAGCACAAGTAAACACGTAAGATATATGAAGAGCATCTTAGCTACTGAACAAAATGAAAAACAATGGCTGTTCTTACGGAGATGGTTTGGATTGAAATTGTCAGACGGGCTCAGAAAGATAATTTCTGTAGACAACATTGAAAAAACAGTCCCGACAAAAGGTCGGGACTACGAATCTTTTTCACCATTTAAAAACAACAGAGTGGAACATGAAGCGTGTAGCTGCAGGTCTGACAGACCTCAGGTCATTTTCACACCAGATAGTCCGGTAGACTCGGTTCGGGACCAATATTCATGAGCTTTTGTTTACATTTGAGCTGGTGCGTTTGCATTCACACTGCACTGTGCAGTTGAGTCAACCTGTTGAACCAACCTGTTCCCCCGCTCGCCTGTGAGGGCGCTGCACCAAGAACTACTGAAAAAAACCGACACAAAAACCTCTGAAGACACGTCTTCTTCTTCTGTAAATAAAAATAAAAACTAAGTGGCATCAAGTTTTAGCAGTTTTAGGAGTTATATTTTGTCATTTTTCAAAAATGGACTTAGCATGAGCAGAAGATGAGACAGAAGACCATGGAGAATATTGTTTTTCCATACAAGGCAGCTGACGGCTCCATATAAGGTCAGAGAAATGCGTGTTTGTTTACCCTGAGGAGCGGGCCCAGTCTGTTTACATTCACACTGCACTCGAACCGCGCTGGAGTTCTCTTCTACTGGACCGAGACCTAGGTTTTAGACGGGCCAGAGTTCGCCTTTTTGTTCCGTGACAGAGATCGATGGTGCGTTCACACCTCCCTAAACGAACCAGACTTTCTAGGAAAACGAGCTAGAGTTCGATTAAAGCGGACTAAACAGGGCTGGTGTGAATGCACCCTCAGCCTCCTTCCCTGGAAAAAAAAAACAACAACAACAAAAAAAACACACACACTGGGCAGAACTCAAGATACAGTCCCAGTCTCAGCTGTGGAACAAGGTGGCTAAAACATTAGCCATCTTGTTAGCCGCTAAGGACCGTGTCTTTAGTAATATGATAAACTGTTGATTTATTAATGTTGCCACCTCTCTGTGCCTCTCATAAGGCACAGCACGGCTAAATGAGTTCTGACCCGTGGTTTGTTTCAAGGAAGGAGGCTGAGGTCTGTCAGACCTGCAGCTTCATCACACACACACACGCACGCACACCAGTGTGAAGGCGGCGCAGCTGAATGGACTGTACTTATACAGCACCTTTCTGATCAAGACACTCAAAGCTCTTTACAACAATCTGTGCCTCATTTACCCACTCATACAGCACTATAATAGATCTCTACAAAGAATAAATCAGAGCTTTATCACATTCATACACCGATGGGACACATCAGAGACAATGAGGGGTTCAGTGTCTTGCCCAGGGACACTTCAGCATGTGACTGCTAGTGGAATCAAACCCTCAACTCTTCCATTGGAGGACGACTGCTCTAGCCTCTCAGCCACACAGTCAGGAATCTGGGGGGTATTTTTGATAGTTCTTTAAAT